ATACACACAAACCATGAAAAAATAGGTGATCATCACTACAAAAGGTTTTCTCTCCCCCAAACCCACTCTCCTGCTGGTAATAGCTTATGTAAAGTGATCACTCTCCTTACAATGTGTATGATAATCAAGGTGGGCCATTTCCAGCTGCACAAGGAATTTTAGTGTCATGACTCCATTGGCATCAGAGAGATTTGGTTCTCCCTCACAACCCTTGCACCTGCAGTTTCTTATATTTGTTTGTTTGTTTTTGTTCTCCCACATTCCCTCCTTTCTCCTTCAGAATGGAGAAGCATTCTGGTGGCTTTGAGAAGTGCTCAGAGTACAGTTGCAGTATGTTCATACGGGAGAGGCATGACTCTAATATCCTGATCTGTGGAGCACACTGTGACTGCTTTGTCTTTGAAATTTGCTCATGGATGTCACAGTAAGCTGAACAAAGTGCCTGAAAATTCTCCTTGCTTCTGATATTGCTTCCCATATGTTGGATGCAAAATGTCCTAAAAGGTCTTGAAAGTATCTTTTGCCTTGGCTATCCAATGTAAAGGGTTCTCAGTTCAGCACTGAAACTCTACCAGCAACATCCATGTATGCATTGGTCTCCAAGCTGCATTTCAACTGCCTCAAAGCACCCAGTGAGACCTGACATGTCAGTGTTAACACACCACATCTAATAATTGCTATCTTTGGTTTAGTCCCACCATTCACGCAGTGCTTAATGGAGACCTAACGCCATCTGAGTGATCAGGGAGGGACTCAATATTTGACCAGGAATTATTAGTCAGCCCATCATCTACGATGTTTTGATAGTGAATCAGAATACAGAACACATGGTTCCAGAGGGTGTAGAAGCTGAGAAGTCTGACGTCTCTGAGTTTGTGTCCAAGGTCTGACTTGCTCAGAAACAGACTATCAGAAAGGTATACTATGAATTTAAGTAGAAAGGGTTTCTGATATTCTGTGAAAGCTCTTGCAGAGCCTGTTACTCTACATTCACTGCTTGACTACTGTCAGGGTTCCCCTCCCCACTCTGAACTCTAGGATACAAACGTGGGGACCCACATGAAAGCCCCCTAAGGTTATTTTTACCAGCTTAGGGTAAAACTTCCCCAAGGCACAAACTCTTTGCCCTTGGAGGGTACACTGCCACCACCAAGTGATTTAACACAGAATCAGGGAAAGGACCACTTGGAGTTCCTATTCCCCCCAAATATCCCCCCAAGCTGTTACACCCCCTTTCCTTGGGAGGCTTGAGAATAATATCCTAACCAGTTGGTTACAAAGTGATCACAGACCCAAACCCCTGGGTCTTAGGACAATAGAGAAATCAGTCAGGCTCTTAAAAGAAACAGAACTTTATGAGAAAGAAAAAAGGTAAAAGAAGCACCTCTGTAAAATTAGAAGGGAAGCTAATCTCACAGGGCAATCAGATTTAAAACACAGAGGATTTCCCTCTGGGCAAAAACTTTAAAGTTATGAAAAGAAAACCAGGAATACACCTTCCTCTCAGCACAGAACAAATCACAAGCCAAAACAAAAGTAAACTAACACATTTCCTTGCTAGTACTTACTAATTCTAATGGAGTTGGATTGCTTGCTTGTTTGATCTCTCTCCAGCAAGCACAGAGAACAGACAGACAAAAGCCTTCACCCCCTGTCCCGATTTGAAAGTATCTTGTCCCCTTATTGGTCCTTTTGGTCAGGTGCCAGCCAGGTTACCTGAGCTTCTTAACCCTTTACAGATAAAAAGATATTGTGCCTCTGGCCAGGAGGGATTTTATAGTACTGTATACAGGAAGGTTGTTACCCTTCCCTTTATTTATGACAACTACCTTGGTCATATGTTAGAATCTGATTTACAGACATCTTCCTTCCATGTTCGTTCAACACCTATTTCAGATTTCTATGAGTAAGATGAGGGTGTTGCATGTTTCAGGTTTTATTTTGAAATATAGTTATTAAGAAGATGCATCTTAGCTTTGTTTTTATGGCAACATCTTTAGTGTTTAGTCAACATGCATGGGAATCTATATTAGCTGTATCTTTGGAGAAAATAAAATTGCATAACTGTAATTGCTGCTCACTGAAGATATATAATGTGACTGATCACTGCTCTCCCAGACACCTCCCTTCAGTGTTTTGTAACTGCAGCTTTTGATATTGCATTCTATATATGACTGATTATTCCACCTCATTTTCTCTTCCTCTCTAATTTGTTATATGGCATCCATATCTATCCATCCTTCCTTCCTTTATAAATTGACTTATGTTATGGTTTTATTGCATATTTCTTTGAAGGTTTTTGTGGTTATCCTATTCTGTACCAGGAGTGCATTCCAGATTTGTGGACCTGTCTCAGCAATAGCTCTGACTCGTACACAGAAACTTCATGATTTCTCTAGTTGTAACAGAGAGGATATGAATAGGATGAGGCGGTCCTGCAGGTAAACTGTGGACCTTTGAAAATGAGGGACAATGTCTTAAATTTAACCTGAAGTGGTGTGATGTCATGTTTTACTGAAATGTCAGTAAATTGTACTTTCTCTCCATTCATTTACCATCAGAAACAGATTTCAAGATATTTGTGTTGTATACGTTTTGTCCTTTATAATCAGTTTTCTCCTCCACTCCCATTCATTTACTGATGTTACACTGTACTTTCTGAGACATCACAGGTCATAACTTTGGAGAGAATTATGATGCCACAAACACTGGAATCAGCATACAAAAATAAATCTGCTTGCATGCATACTACCTATGCTTAAGTGATCCCGTCTTTCCTTCCTGGGTTTATTTGGGAGCAGGCAACACTCACCTGTGTGTCAGGGTGCCTGTCAATTTTAAGGGGATCCTGAGTATCACAGCGGTGATGGTGGATGTGTGGGAATCCTCTATCCACCCCTCTGCTGCAGTCATTTTACTTATAAGGAAGATTAATCTTGGAGGTTCATCTACCTTGCTGGGGCTGGTACTGACATGCCTTGGGAGCCTCCAGAAGTAAACCTGAGCTACTCTATGCAATGGGTCTAACTCAAAAGTACCAGTTATAAACTCTGTACTGGTTAACACATCTTTACTTGGGCTGCCGATTAGTCGCAGTTATCTCACACGAGTAATTAAAAAAAAATAATCATGATTAATTGTAGCTTTAATCGCACTGTTCAACAATAGAATACCAATTTAAATTTATTTAATATTTTTGGATTTTCTACATTTTCAAATATATTGATTACAACAGAGTACGAAGTGTACAGTGCTCACTTTATATTTTTACAAATGTTTGCACTGTGTAAATGATAAAATAAATAGTATTTTTCAATTCACCTAGTACAAGTACTGTAGTGCATTCTCTTTATCATGAAAGTGCAACTTACAAATGTATATTTTTTTTGTTACAAAACTGCACTCAAACAAAACAGTTTAAAACTTTGGAGCGTACAAGTCCACTCAGTCCTACTTCTTGCTCAGCCAATCTCTAAGACAAACAAGTTTGTTTACATTTACGGGAGATAATGCTGCCCGCTTCTTATTTACAGTGTCACCTGAAAGTAAGTACTGGCGTTCACATGGCACTTTCCTTGCCGACATTGCGAGGTATTTACATGCCAGATATGCTAAACATTTGTATGCCTCTTCATGCTTTGGACACCATTATAGAGGACATGCATTCATTGTGATGATGCTCATTAAAAAAATAATGTGTTAATTAAATTTGTGACTGAACTCCTTGGGGGAGAATTGTATGTCTTTTGCTCTGTTTTACTCACATTCTGCCATATATTTCATGCTATAACAGTCTTGGATGATGACCCAGCACATGTTCTAAGAACACTTTCACTGCAGATTTGACAAAATGCAAAGAAGTTACCAGTGTGAAATTTCTAAGGATACAGCACTTGACCCAAGGTTTAAGAATCTGAAGTGCCTTCCAAAATCTGAGAGGGACGAGGTGTGGAGCATGCTTTCAGAAGTCTTAAAAGAGCAACACTCCAGTGCAGAAACTACAGAACTTGAACCACCAAAAAAAGAAAATTAACTATCTGCTGGTGGCATCTGACTCAAATGATGAAAATGAACATGCCTCTGTCCGTACTGCTTTGGATAGTCATCGAGCAACCCATCATCAGAAGGGACACATGTCCTCTGGAATGGTGGCTGAAGCATGAAAGGATATATGAATCTTTAGCACATCTGGCACGTAAATATCTTGTGACGCTGGCTACAACTGTGCCATGCGAATGTCTGTTCTGAATTTCAGGTGACATTATAAACAAGAAGTCGGCAGCATTATCTCCCACAAGAGATATTTGTTTGTCTGAGTGATTGGCTGAACAAGAAATAGGCCTGAGTGGACTTACAGGCTCTACAGTTTTACATTGTTTTGTTTTTGAATGCAGTTATTTTTGTACATAATTCTACATTTGTAAGTTCAACTTTCATGATAAAAAGAGATTGCACTATAGTATTTGTAATGGGGGAGTTGAAAAATACTATTTTTGTTTTTTACAGTGCAAATAGTTGTAATAAAAACAAATATAAAGTGAGCACTCTACACTTTGTATTCTGTGTTGTAACTGAAATCAATATATTTGAAAAATGTAGAAAAACATCCAAAATTTATCCAAAACTTCCATTTGTATTCTATCGTTTAACAGTGTGATTAAAACTGCAATTAATCACTGTTATCCTTTTAAATTGTGATTCATTGTAAAAAACCCCCCAAATAAATAAATAAATGGTATTCTGTTATTGTTTAACAGTGCAATTAATCATGATTTTTTTAAAATCATGCAATCACAATTAATATTTTAATCGCTTGATATCCCTAATCTTTATTTAACAATTTAGAAAAAAAAACAGGATATAACAGATTGAGATTAATTAAAATGTCTCAACCCCTTCAAGTCAGCAGAGGGGTGCTTAAATCGATTAATAAATACAGTTTACAGTAGTAAATGAAACTTAACCAATATACATTTTTACGCCAGAATTAGCTACCCCACCTCTGAGTGTGCACTCCTCTGAACTTCAAAGTTCCAGACAACTGCTTGTGTGGGCGTGCTTGGAGACGCTCAAGCTGGGCACAGCACTTCGTTGGTCCGGTAAAGTAATCCAGCCAAGTCAACAAAGGGCAACGTGATTCTAAATGTGGATCAATCCAAGCTCCACGACCGCTCTGAAGACGGGCGTTGTTCTAACCAGAGGTCAATAATCTTGGATCCTGGTTAGACAAGACCACTTTACAGCCTCAAGGAGACCACTTAGTCTTTCATCACCCCCTTTTCCTTGACAGCACTTTCCTAAATAAACGAAAGAAGAGTTGTGGTTACTCACACTGTTTTCACCCAAACTCAGTCAGTTCTTGCCCCAGCAACAGTCTTTGTCCTGGCTTGGACAAAGCTCCACAAAGCTATCTCTTCCATACCCTGATCAGGGGACCGTTAACAGTCTCAGCTCCCAAGTCACAATAGGCGACCGCAGCAGGCTGGTGCCCTGCTTGAACAGAGCTCAGACAAGACTCCCTACAACTCTGCAGCTATTCACTTTTAACTTTCTAAGTCCTCACAAAATGGAGCCCATTGAAACCGAGGCAGGGAAGTCTGTCTCCTTCCCCAAAGTATCATGGGAGTTGTAGTCTTCAAGGCTGGATTGCAGCACCTGGGATCTTCCTGAGTGGAACACCCCCAATTAAGTTCAGCGGCTCCTTTCATGGGGATGTCTACACTTAAATATAACTGTACAGTGTTGTTGTATCTAACAGTCATATGGGACACATCAACACTGCAAATAAGGTGTGTGAGGTCTGATAAAATATTTGGAAAAAGAATGGGGTTTCAACAGCTCTATTTACCATGTCAATGGACATAACACTCTAATGACAAATATGAAGTTTAAATAATGAAAAAGACAAATATGAAGTTTAAATAATGAAAAAGACATTCCATGTTTCTCTGTTCTGATGCAGATGTACCTGGAACAATATATAATACGAGTATTTTATTTCTCTCCTCTTGCTAGTTCTCATATTAAATGACAGGGTGAAATATGCAGTTCTCATAGTCTAGTGAGGTGTCTTCTGTTTGATCAGCTAGCTATGGTAATGCTCTTAAGCCAATCTCCCCCATACTTTTGTGGTTGTATCTATGTATGATGTGCTTCTTGTGTCATTTTCTGATATCATATACTATTTGTTTAATGAAATTAAATTACAAGTATTTCCTTTTTTAGCATTTACTTTCTTCCTGTGGGTTATTGCTGCTGGAATTGAAAAACATGTTGAGCTACTATTTGCTTGTAGTGTGTTAACTTCTTGATGGCTCTTTGGCATTAGACAGTTTATTTTTATTACAGAAAGAAGGGAGAAACAACAGGACCATGTGCAAGTATTAAGATAGTTTTGAATATAATGAGAAGTTACAAATAAGAAATACATTTGATAAGTACAGTATCAGGAGTCTATATATAATGAGACCTCCAGTGAGTAAAAAAAAAATACATTTACAGAGGGAAAACTTTTATAATAAAAAATGGTACTGTAGATACAAATTTGCTGTTCACTTTGAACAAATCTGAAATGCTGATCATTTATGTGCACTTTATTTGATTATAAAGTACTTAGTAACTAATTTTTCTGTTCTGAGTTTTCAATCAATATAATTTTAAAAACAAACAACCACTCATGTTTGCCTAATTGCCCATGGGACACTGTGCATGAGATCTTAGTTCAGGCCTCCTACTTGACTACATCACTGCCTGATAGGATTGACAGTCCACCAACAGAAAAGAGTGGTTGTTCTGTTGAGAGAACTCTACATATAGGGAGTAGTCAGGGGTGAAAGTAACTTAAATGACTTACTGGTACACAGGGTGCCAGGATTCTGAGCATGGCAGGGGCGGGGGGCTCTGCCCCCCTCCCCCGGAAAGGGTGGGCTCTTGGGAGGAAGGGGCAGGGCCTCTGGTGCAAGGGGCGGGGCTGGAGCCAAAATCCCCCAGCCAGTCCTTCAGCTCTGCCTGGCCCGCACCACCCAGGGCTTCAGCAGCAATTTAAAGGACCTGGGAGCCCCCGGCCCTTTAAATTGCCACCAGAGCCCCAGGGTAGCAGTGGTGGAGGCCAGGAGCCCGGGGCCCTTTTAAATCACCGGGCCCCGGGGCAGTTGCCCCTTTTGCCTCTCCCTCTTCCCCCCATCAGCGGCTCTGCCGGTATCGGCTGGACCAGCTTACTTTTTTACCTCTGGGGATAGTTCTTGGTCATTATAGAGTACTGTGTGCAGTTCTCCTAAATTGATGGAAAGATCAATGAGATACAAAACGTATGAAGGATGAATTGAGGAATTTAAAAGGAAGAAAATTTTAGGCTCCTATGAGCTCTGAGGGGACCTAAAAGCACCGCAGGAATAATCTATCCAACATTTCCATATGTACTTAAAATTGCCTTTGCATTTGCTTTCGTTTTGTAGCAAAACTACGTGAGTCCTGCTTTGATCCTGGGAATGTAATGAATGGCACAAGACTTGGAATGGATTATAAACTGGGATCAACAGTCACATATTACTGTGATGCAGGTTATGTTCTTCAAGGGTATTCTACACTTACCTGTATTATGGGAGATGATGGAAGACCTGGGTGGAACAGAGCACTACCCAGCTGTCATGGTAAGAGCTGTATTTTCTGCAGTTATTTCATGACTTGCAAGAGACACACAAGTGAATATAAACATATATTTATTATATAGTGATTTTAATAAACCTTTTTTATATATTTTCCTCTTTAGGATATATACCCTTTTCTTCAGTGTACCATAAGCAGTACTGTATGAAAGAGTAAAGATAATATCAATTGACAAATGTTTAGAGATGTGGGGATTTTACTGATTCACTTAGTGCTACCAGATGAATACAGCAGCAAATAATTACTACCGACGATTGTCAGTGATACTATGCAAGGTGGTAAACATTTGTTATTGATCTCATCAGTCTTCGGCAAATGTATGGTAGAATAGAATATTATGTACACATAATGATTTTTGCTTAACTAGATCATCAACTTATACTCTTAATTTTAATAGTATTTAAAATAATAGTTCTTAGGATACTTAATGCATTATTGCTACACTTTTTGTTTATGATCAAAATATTTTATTGGATTATTTAACATATTTCATGTGAATTTTCTAGGAAAATTTAATCTAAAAAATTGAAAATACATTACGGGCAGTACTCCGTTGACTATCATGTGCATATGTGTTTGCAGGGTTAGACTTCAAATATGGGGTCCATTTTACCAGTATGGTGGTAACTCTCCATAACAATTGACAGACACAAAGCAAGACAGTATAGCTTTGACATGTCCTTCGCCATTGGACCCAAAAACTGTCTCTCCTTCTGGTGTTACTTAAATTTTAATTAAATTACATTATTTACATCAAAAATGCTAAATTATTAAATTGAGGTTGTGGATAATATAGTTTATATTACATAAAGGAAAATGAAATATCCATGATCTAAGCTCCCCATGCTGTTAGATTGTAGTGTCTCATTTTGAATCTTTTTGCTGACATTGTGCTAAATTCAGAACTGATGTAAGGAGGTATGAATCCATTGAATTTCAACCCCCTCACACTAAGTCTGAACTTGACCTATTGACACATTACTTGAATCTTGCGTGTTTTGTAGGGACAATAATGCTAAATTATTACCACCCAAAATGCATATATGCTAAATAGTAATATGTGTTACCAGTGTTTGTCTCTTTTTATGTGTGTGTGATGTTATGAACAAGTAGAACTCTGGGGGCAGGGGAAGAGGAGAAGATGATGATGATGATGATGATGAACTGACCTCAAAATAGAAAAAAAGTGATTACTGACTGATGAAAGAAGGGATATGAAGCGTAAGGATTTAGGGAAACTACCTATGATTTTTAGGATTACCCAGTATTAAAACACCAGTCTTCACTTCTGGAGCATCAAGATGCTAATGCTGTGGAATACTGGCCTTAATAAACTCTGTAGGGAAAATGTGTTCCAGCTTGGAAACATGGAGAAGTGTAGAGCAAACAGAAGTTTCTTCCAAGCAAACCCTTTCTTTGTTTTTAAATGACACTTGGGATTTTTTTTTTTCAAGTTTAAGAAAGAGAGAGAGAAAGAGAAGTTTTTCTTGGGTAGAAGGGATGGTGCTATAATTGTGGTCATTAGTGCTGCTATACTCTTGTTAATGGTTTGTAACTGCTTCAAAATCTTTCATATTTCCAGAGGGGGTTAACTCAGCATGTTTGTAATAAAGAGACTTTTGTGCTTGGGAGGAAAAGCTGCAATTTTATTAAAAAAACACCGTCATAATAGAGGTTTCAGAGTAGCAGCCATGTTAGTCTGTATTCGCAAAAAGAAAAGGAGTACTTGTGGCACCTTAGAGACTAACAAATTTATTTGCGCATAAACTTTCGTGAGCTACAGCTCACTTCATCGGATAGGTGATGGTCAGTCCTTGCTCATTCTAACCAAATCTAGTTCTCTAGGTTGTCTGAAGACCTTAAGGTCCTTCAAGAATGCATAGTACTTAGGTTCCATATTACCCTGACATCCTTGCATAGATTCTGGCCACCAGAATGATGCCAAATGATAAGCCTAGTGGGAGGCACTTACCCTTATACTGGTCAGTTGTGCCTAAACTCCGTGACCTGTTCAAGTATACAGATTTGGCTAGCATAGTGGTTTCCTCCTAACTGCTAAAGCCTTATCCTATAGCTGTTACTTTGCTTGTGGTGCAGTATGATCTATTTTAGCAACAGATGACTAAGGAGTTCTACCTTTTGGTAATTTTATGTAAGAAAATTAGCAAATTTATTTATTTACTTACTTGGAGCGTGGGGGAGAAGAGGAAGACAGAAGGAATGGAAGCTTTAAGTTGTCACCAGGACTGGGCAGAGGAGAATCAGAGTGCTGTGATTGGGAACTGACAGGGACCCATTCTTTACTGCACCCAAGCTTTGCTCGGCTGCAGAGAAAAATTGGGCCTCCTCAGTCCTGCCAGCTTTAGATTTGAAGTTGCATTCATAAAGCTAACGTTGTTTCAGTACAGATACACAATACATCTGATCACATTTTTTTATGATCTCTGATTATTTCCTTGCAATCAGGGGTTTATAGATTTTTTTCTTTCTGTTTTTTTTTTTAATATTTTGCTCAAAGGGTTCTCTGCATTAGATATGACTTGCCTTTGACTAAAAACCTTATTTCAAATGTCCTTGAAACATCTCTAATAGGTGTGGGATATGAACCAAGTCCATGGTCTCATTCTATTATGAATCCATGCAAAGGTTATCCAGTCTAACACAGTAAGCCATTTGGCATTTGATGATGGCTGTTAAGAACAGGATATGATTAAAGGACGCAGATGAAACATTCATAAAATGAAAGCTGATAAATAATGATTTTTGTCAACTTTACGAAATAATTTCTTCAGCATTACATAATATTTTAACTTTTGCCTGGCTAATATCAGTTGTTTAAAAGTTAGTATGTTGTGCTCAGCACAGTGGAAAACCTTATATCTGA